TTAGTTTACTGTACTGAGTAAAATCATTATGTGCTAATTTTTTTTTTTCATGGTGAATCTGGCTACCATATGCCCAGTGGTGACTTGAAGCTTTTTGGTACCTTGCCTCTACAGACCTGGGAATGTTTAACATTTAAAGTCTGCCACTACCATTTTAAGTCTGACCCTGAGCTTCCAGCTCTCCAGTCAGAGGGCCAAGATTGTGTCCTAAAGGGCCAACAGGGTATTTTACCAGTTTGAGTTATAACACGGCATTGTCTAGCTCTGGCAGAGTCTTAATCAATATTATTACCTTCTAAGAAAGATAGGCTTTAGTGTTGAGTGATGAAGATACCCATTAAACACAATGTATACAAAAATGTGTCTGGCTTTCACTATGTAACTCTCACAAATTTATTCAGGCTCCTCCAAATGAGTGATAGGCATTGAACATGGTCACTCTTGTCCAAATCTTTTATAAACTGAAACATCAGCACTAATGCCAAACTCACAAAACCCTGATGCTCTTTCATTCCAGCTGAAATGAACCCTAGCTTTAAATCTAGAATATGCAGCCCTGGCTAAATCCCATATACAAAGACAAGCAAGAGTTATGCTCCAGGAATCTAATCCTAACCTGACAATTTTTATATTTCATAAAGCTTGTTTATAGTTTCCTGTTCCACCTAGGCACAATCAAGCCTACTGCTTTGTACTTTCTGGTAATTTTACCCAGCTTTTCCTAACCCAGGATACATTTAAACAATGTCTGCATAGGTATCACATGGAAATTTTGGTCAGATTAAACTCTTGCCAGCTGAATTTAAACACACTGTTCTTCTTATTTTATTAAGTGCCCAAAGTTCTGTGCTAATAACAGAAAGATTGAAGCCATCCCTTCTTTTTCAACTGAAGCTGATTAGCTTATCACTTATAAAAAGCCCTTTCAATGCTCCTTAAAGCAGAGGCTAACAATGGTGTCAGCTATGTACTTGTGATTGCATTTGTGCATTTTAAGAAACCCTCTCAGCTGATTGAAAAGTGAAATGGCTTTGCTTCAGCCACTTAATATCAGTGTAACAGCATCTGTCACTCCAGCCCATGGTGTAATGTCTGGTTACAGTATGGTCAGTTAATATGCCTTCAAATAAATTACTACATTTTTATAATATAAAACATGCAGCCAAAAAAAATTTAAAAAAAAAGAGTAAGACGTTTTCTTCTTTGTTTGTTTAAGTGTCAAGAAAAGCCCAAAGCTGCAGTTGTCAGCAGTGCTTAAACTGGCAATTTTATTACTACTTTTCCCTCCAGATTTTAGACAGACAGGAAAAGGAATGTCTTGAGGTTAGAGCACCAAGTTTTACATTTCAGTGCAACATCATAAGCATCTGAGAGCTCATTCACACATAACATCAAGATCACTTCCACAGTTCTTACTCTGACTTACAAGACAACTATTCTCCTTGGAAAGCTGCCAGTGTGTTCTGCAAATTACACAGAGCATTAAATCTTTCTGACACAGGTTCTATGATTATTTAAGGGACTTCATCATTTCTGCAGCACAAGTCTATGCCTAAGCAATATTCACTCCTCAGCATGTTCCTCTAATCACATGTTCTGCTCTTTCTTGACCCACAGGCTTTGGTATAACTGGCTGTTGATAAAGAACTTTTACTGCAGAATTCTGAGCAGGACAAGCTGATGCAGTCCAGATATATACACTTTAAATCTTATTTTTACCAAGTCTGCATATAGAGTGTGGAGATTTGTTTAAAATAGTACAAATCAGAGACTGATTTGCAAGTTTACTGGGACTGACAAGGCCAACCAGTTCAGGTTAGAATTTGCATCGTGAATTCTTGCAATTTTGCTTGAATTCTCCTGTTATTTAGTATTCACTACAAAGAAAGGGCTACCAGAACCAAGAGCTTCTGTACTTCAATTTTTCTAAATTCTCAAACCTTACCTATGTACAAAAAAGAAAAAGAAGAAAAAAAGACAATGAGACCCATATATTTAATTTAAAAAGCAAAATGCTCAGAAAACAAATATTTATTTAAAATTAAGCTATTAATTTAAACAACTTTTTAAATAATTAAAAAATAGTTTGGCAGTTCAGAGCTCCTAAATTTTTGAGGGCTTCCTATATGCAATTCTTGATATGTTTGGATAAGAATACCTTGGGAGGGCTTCCCTCTCTCTCCCTCAATCTCATTTCCAAGTGTCACACAAAATGTTATATGCAAGTAATCAACTTACAACCTGCTGATTCATGGAGCAGGTTCATGAATCATTTGGCATTCATTTGGGTTTTTTTTGCATTATTAACCTTACTTTCTCGCTTTTCCAGTGGAGACAAGAGTGCTTTGAATGGAAGATGTGTTACGGTGGACCAGCTTGATTTACTTTCATGAACTCGTGTCAGACTCCTCTGCTGATAAGGAGTATCAGAGTTCCAGGTTTTACCTACAGAACGCTGCTTCCCTGGCCAAGGCCAACACCAACCCAGGCGGCACTGCTGAAAACACAAACCCAAGTCTCCAGAGTCACAGACAGCTGATCAAAGCTCCAGCACACAACACCTTCAAACCTCTCCCCGTTCCCACACTCTTATTTCCAAGTACTATTTGCAGCTGACATCACCCGCCCCTTTCACAGGGTCTCAGCATGGATGAGGCTGGAAGCGACCACAGCGAACACCCGGCCCAGCCTCCCTACTCAAGCAGGGGCATCCCAGGGCACAGGGGTCACCCAGAGCGTTCCTGAACGCCTCCAGCGATGGAGACTCCACAGCCCCTCCGAGCAATCTGTGTCTGTGCTCAGTCCTTTCCTCTGCCGCAGCCGCGGTTCTCTGCGCTCCTCCCGCCGCGTCTGGAGCCGACCCCGCTGCTGCCGTCCCGGCCCGGGAAGAGCCGTGACACCCGCCTGGCCCCGGCCCAGCCCGGGGAAGCCCGGCGTGCCTGCCCTGTTCCCCGGGCACCGTGACGCCCTGCGCTCCCATGACCTCAGGGGTCGCTCCGCCCGGTGTGGGCAGAAAACCCCCACCGGTACTAACCTGACCAGGTCGGTCATACAGGATCCCACCACCACCACCTCCGCGGCCATGGCGCCCTCGGACCCTGACCCCGGCCCGCCCCGGCCTTGCCGCGGCTTCTCCCGTCGCCATGGGCGACGGGCTGCCCGCGGGGCCCTTCTCCCGCAGGGCTGTCCCCGCCGAACGCCTGCTGCCAGGACCGCCCCCCCTCCCCATTCCCCTCTGTCCCGCGGTACGGTCCGCACAGGCACTTGCGGCGGACAGCAATATTGTGCCGTTGAAGACCCCTTCGGGCCGGGTGGGAGCGGCGGCGGCGGCGGCGGCGGCGCGGGGGGAGCGGAGGCGCGCACGGGGGCGCGCACGGGGGCGCGCACGGCGGGCGCGGGGGCGCGCACGGCGGTGCCCAGCGGCGAGTTCCGGCCGCCGTAGGTAATGGCGGGGCCGGGACGGGCGGGATGGGGCGAGCCAGCCGGGCAGGGACAGCGGGAGGGAAGGAGCGAGCCAGCCGGGCAGGGACAGCGGGAGGGAAGGAGCGAGCAGCGCCACAGCCCTTCCCGGGCCGGCGGTGGGCGGAAGGGAGCCGGCGGAGGCCGGCGTTAGCTGGGGAGGGGAGGGGCGGGGCGGGCGCAGCGCCACAGCAGCCGGGGAGGGAGCGGGGCTTGGCCAGGGTCAGCCCGGAACGGGAGTGGATGCACGGAAAGTCCCCCCGAATGTGGGGAAGAGCCTCTTTGCTTTGTGGGTGACAGAGCGCTGGAGCAGATTGTCCAGAGAGATGCGGGGTCTCCGTCACTGGAGATACTCGAGAAGTGCCTGGACACAATTCTGTGCTTCAGGATGAGCCTGCCCGAGCAGGGGGTCGGTCCAGATTTCCAGCCTTAGCCATGCTGGGATGCTGGGCGTTCTTCAGTGCCAGCGCTTAGGTAACTTGTGTTCAGCCGGGGCTCCGCAGGTGCACATTGCTGATCGCATTCCGTGGATGTGTTGGGGCACGGCTGCAGGAGGGGCGGTGCTGGGTCCCTCCTTTCCCCACTCACACCCAGACACCAGCTCCTGCCACCCGCCCCCGAAGTGAAAACCACGCAGCCAGCTTGCCGACAGCCACGCCAAGTGGGTTAGGCAGGAGAGGTCATGTCATTCTTCCAGGTTTCCATCATAATATTCACCTTTTCCTTTTAAAAATCTTCTCCTAATCCTCATTATGTTATGGCCTGTGTCTTGTATCCTCGCTCTCTCCGCTACCCAAAGCAGTGCCCGGGACTTCATAATTACCGTGAAGGCCGTGTAACATTAGCCCGAAGTCACTGTGAGAGCCAGCTGAATCAGAGAGGATTCAACTATCAGTTTGTTTGCTTCTTTCCAAGGTTTTGTTCTGGGAGGGAAACAGTCCAGTGAATTTTGTTTTTCTTCATTCCCCTGAGTTTGTTTGTGTTCAGTTTCCAGTATTGTGGGAAACTTTCGCTGTAGAAAAACAATGTATATGACAACTGAAACTTAGGAAACTGGTACAAGTTGTGTTCTAGTTTTTAAAGCCCTTTGTTTACAAAATAAATCAGTGAGTTTACTTGATAACAACCCTTTAAGTTTTGTGTATTCTGGCTTGTTAAATAGAAGGTACTGTAATTTTAAAAAATAATGCAATAAAATACAGAAAAATGCCTAACAGTCATTTAAATCTTGTTTTGACAATACCTGCAAATTTTATTTACAGAAAGATAAGGAATCTCATTTTAAAGTTAATTTTGGAAGGTGCATCTGGTGAGATGTGATCACCAGGTGTATCACGTCTCTCAGTTTCACCTTCATAACACTTACAGTCCCCTTAAAATGTGTCATTATCAGAACCAATTCTGTGATCCTCATGTATAACTTCAGGATTGCTAGAAGGATAGCTTATTTTTCAGCATGTTCTCATGATTTTAGAAGTTCTTAATTTCATCAGTCCCTGCTTGAAATTACTCTTCCCTGCAGCAGGGCTGGCATATTGAATTATGTGCGCTGTTGTAATCACTCTTGTGCAAAGTGCTTAAACTAATTTTTATTAGCAGTTCAATCTAAGCCACTGGACTTTGCACTGAAATATGTCAAGAATGGGCTTGTGTTTTCTCAGTCCCTCTGGGCAAGAATAAAGGTGAGTAGGCAGAAATTTTTAGTAAAAAAGTAGCAAACTGGAGGTAGTATCTTAAATTGCTGTAGGTGTTTGCTAAACAAACTTAGGTTGTTCCATTGTCAATTAAATCCTATATGAGAACACATTATGAGTTAGGGCATGGATACATAGTCTTCAGCTTCTTCACTGGCATAAAATGTAGGAGCCAGTGTATTAAAGATAATTACTGTTTTTAGGAAGTGTTACTTTATTAGTCTTTCAGTTTGCCTTAAAGTGCCCAGCCTTTGCTTTATTAAGATACATTCTGAGTATCTAGGACAAACATGTAACATTGCTTCCTGCTACTCCAGTGTGAATGGCTTTCATGAGAACAGAATGTGAAATTTAATGTTGCTCCCGGTTACAGAGATTTAGTAGATTCTGCAGAATATCCATTAGTTACTAATTACTGCTTGTAAACTGAGTGTGAGAAACAACAGAAAATTGCAATTATTGCCATGAGTTGTTCACAGAAAATTGCAATTATTGCCATGAGTTGTTCACACTCTTGTTATAGAACACTTACTAATACAGCAATCCATGTGCAGCATTTTTAAGAAAGTGAATGCTGTGTGTATTAGTGTTTTTCAATTAAATGCTATTTTAAAAATATTTTTGAATGCTGAGGATTTATGCATGAACTCTTCTCTCCCACTTATCAGTGCCAAATTCATGTTCTCTTCAGTCATTTATAGCCTTTCTTCCCAAAACTACCGAGTTGAGTTAATTTTCATATGAAGCTCTGTTCTTTAGAATGTGATCAAATACATCAACATTTTAATAGGTTGGTTACCCTTCTTTTCTCTCACTTCTCCTACCATGGTCTGTTGTTGTCCACGTACTGTAGTCTTTTTGTGGTGCAATGACTTAAAATGTGTGAATGCTCAGTTTCTGCATTTCACCTAGAAAGCAACAGGTTACTTAAATGTGCTAAATTAATGGCCTAATTGATTTAGCTTAGGATCATGCAATTGCAAGCACTTCTGAACAAGCTGTGCTTAAAATGTGTGTACATCACATTCCTGATCTGTTACATGAAGGAATATTAAGATGCCTCTCAAAGAGTGTGATGATACCACTGAAAGAGAAACAGTGTTAGCTTTTAAAAGGCATCATGAAGTTCTATAAATTGCCACCTAATGAAGTAGTATAAAAGTAATACTGATTATTAGTGAGCACACTAGTGCTCTTGGAAATTGCAGGTGAGAATACTGAGAGGTATCAGACCCCTGGGCCCATTGCAGTTAATGTAAGTTCTCTGATTTCAGGGGAAGCAGAACACGTGTGACTTCTCAATTACAGACTGACTGGGAATACTCACCAGAATGACTGGGTGGGGAAGTGTCAGAGTGGCCCTCAATTTTATGCCTCTTTTTCAGAGGCTTAGGGCCTTAATTAAATGCACCTAGGACATAATTCTGTCTTTATGTTGATACTGAATAAACAGAGTTAATTGAATGTTGTGGAGGTGGGAGGAAAAAACCCACCCATGTTTATTTTTTCTCTATAAACCTGTGCACAGTTCTGTTACTCTACACTCCTGGTCTTTTGAGTGTTTAGCTTTTCTTCTGTTGATGTTTGCAAAGTACATGTGAATCTACATCAAGTGAGTAGATAATTTTAAAATTTTATTTTCTCCCTTTGCAGTTCAAGACAAAAGAAGGAGGAACATAATAAAATGTCACCCGAAGTGGCCTTGAACAGAATTTCTCCAGCACTTTCACCCTTCATTTCCAGTGTGGTCAGGAATGGAAAAGTAGGACTAGATGCTACTAATTGCTTACGGATTACAGACTTGAAGTCTGGGTGAGTTCCTCATCTAAAAAGATCACCCAACCCCTCAAAATTGTTTGTTCAAAACTGAGTTTTATTAGGTTCATGTGTTTAAGCATTTTGAACACAGCTGGAGTTGACATACTAGTTGACATGCTAGCTACATTATTTTTTGTCTTGCTACCATTTTGTAGTTTGGGAGACTAAATTTGTCATATTTTTGGCAATAATAATCTTGTTAAGACACTCACATCGCTGCCACTTGATTGTGCTGATTTTCAGCAGTGAGATAGTTACAAACACTTTTTTCTGTTGTTTATCACTTGCTTAGTCAATCTTTTCTGTATACCAAAAATTGAAAGACAAATTTGTGTGAACTTACGTGTAGTCATGAATATGCCAAACCAGAAGAAAAAGTAACTTTTCCTTTATCTGGCCTCCCTCAAGTTCAGTACATCAAGTGGCTATAGAGCCAAGTGTTTGAAATAAGCTAAGCTGCTCCTTTTATTTTTAATTCTAGAAGCATTCAGATTAGTTTTCAGATAGTAATAGAATTTTGGGATTTGCATATAAAAACAGACTTTGGTATATAACCTCTGTGAATAATACATGAGGAGAGTGAAATGTTTAGATGACACATGTCAGAAATTGCTTTATTCTTATAGAGTTGGGCATCTAACAGCATCTTTTTGATTTGGGTTTTTTTTTTTGGTTTTTGCTACAGGAGCTCAGACTGAAATTACTTTTGCTTTAGATCACAAATCATCTTGTTTGTACAAACTACTGCTTTGTGTATCATTTTGAATGATAGCATAATAAAAATAACAAAAGATGGTCAGAAGAACCACAAATCACTGTTGTTTAAAAGGCAGTTCTGCTGAAAACTTTGTTTAATGTGCTTCTGAAGGCTGTTTTATTATATTTTCATGAAAAGCTTCAGAGGTGCTTTTCTGGTTGTAACAATGCCTTTTCAGGAATGAGTTTTGCATTCTGGGGTTGGTTTGAAAGGAACCATTCCCTCCCTGTGAAGTGCTGGGGCAGAGTAGAGAATTTACGTGGAGGTCTAAGAAGCCACTTTTGTTATTAGTGTTGACTGGCTTGACATTTAGGCTTGCAAATTACATAAGACAGGCTGAGCACTTCTGCATCTGCTGCTGTCATTTCATGCTAGATCTTGCTTTCCCTTGAACTAGTCTTCTAGGAGAGCTGTGATGGGAGTGCTTATATTTTTCCAGTTGAAGTTTAAGAGAAAGGAGTAGTAGAGAGAAAAGTAGAGAAAACACAACTATTTGTTGGGAGGTGGCTAAGGGGTTTGCTTTCTACCCACTGAATGCTTATGCTGCCTGTCTTTAAAGTCAGAGATTAAATTAATAAAAAGCAGTATTTTCTAGCTGCCTCTTTTCACTGGTATTTTTAATAGGTGTCTAAAGTTTTTGGCCACTGATCTTGCCAAGAAGATTTCATGTTTGCGTTGTTAAAACCAGAGTGTTTTCCAGCAGTTTATTCTTTAAAAAACTAAAAGCTGCCAGCAGCTGCACCTGTCTCTCAAACCCAGTGATTCAAATTGTACAGTAACTCTTAATTTGCAGCACCTGACAGAGGTTGTCTCATATCTTGTTTAAAGACCCTGGCCCTCCTAAATGCTCGTGTTAGAAATACTTTTTTCCTTGTTCTGGAACACAAGCATAAACCTCATTCTTTATGCTGAGTCTTTGTTTTAGCTTGAGGTTATTAGGATAATCCTGACATGGAGTCAGGAAAATCAAGATTCTTCATTTATTTCAGAATTGTTTTGAAGGTTTTCTTTCTTTGGTACAACTAGTTTCTTAAAAACATTGCCATAAACAGAATTAATTAACAATTGCTTGAAATTGCTTTGAAATATAAATTTCATGCATGTGTTTGTAGGAAGGATTTTTGTTTGTTACAAATAAATTGTTGGTTATTTATAACAGAAAATTTTGAATTCATGTGTCAATATGGAAATACAAAATTTTCATGATTTAGCGCTTTATGCTGTCACTGAACTGATGAACAGTGAAAAATTACTTACCATACTATGGATGTCCCTTCCATAACTCAGGATCTAGTTCAGTGGTCATTAACCTTGATACAGGAGTTCTTTGACACTCCACAGACTGTTTCTCAGAGTGTCATGTCAGCTGATAAATAGCAAAATCCCTAACCCACAGCCTTGTTAGTAGATTTAAATTTGTTGCTTTATACTGACTGTAGAGGAAAATTTCGTAGGGTTTTGAGAGTTCAAAAATGATTTGAAGGTCATTGGCCTACTCCCCTCCTCTGTCCTCACATCGCGAGATGATCTAAACCCCTGTATACTTTCACTTTCATTACACTTTTTAAAAGGAAACAAAATAATGCAGACAAAATAATCGGAAGAGGCAAATGTAGGTGATATTAAGATGAAGAAAGAGAACCGTGAGGCCATTGAAGTTGGACATAAATGGGAAGAAAATGAGAACTATTTTTAGAGAAATGGGATGAAGTTCAGAATATCAATTGCAAAACTCCCTTCAATTTCAATGGGTTGAAATCAGGCTTTAAACATAGAAAGTGGAACCAGTCAGGTTTAGATTAAATGGTTGAAGTTAAGTAAAAAGTGTTCTTGTTCACAAATGGGTATGACCACTTGGTAGTACAAAGTTCAGAAACTTTGTTTTTGAATAGTGATTGTACATTTATTCACATGTGACAGGGGCTGTGCACACACTAGTCTAGGCTGTTAAAACCCTAGCCTAGCTTGAGTTTATTACAGAATGCAAATATTTTCTGCTTTAATTTGTGTGTTATGTGGAAGATTTTTAGTAATAAATATATACAATTTTACTGTAACCTTTAAAGTCTTTTAATAGTTAAGGTAATCATCTCAGTATCTGTTAATTTTGAAAACAGAAGCATCTGTAAGCTTCTGGGGAGGAGCTATGTGGTTTCTCCACTGTCACATACCATACTGTTACTCTTAGAGAAAATAGGAGTTACTGTTGTCACATCCCTTCCCTAATGAACCAGTGGTTTACAATGTATAGCAAAATAAAATGTTCAAACTGGAGCATCCATCCATTCTTATTTCTTAGATTTTTAGAAACAGGATGGCTGTGGTTAGCAAGAAATGATGGTAACCTACTGAACAAAGTAGTACTTTGCCCACTCAGAGCCTTGGTTTTGACATTCTCAGAAGTGGAAGGTATTTCCTTTCTGTTTCACCAGTAGAAGATCAACTAATAGATTTTAGCCTATCACATCAGTTGATTTTGATTTGTAAATGGCAAGCATATTAAGCCTTTAATTATTTGAAAAGTCAATCCATATGTCAGATAGTTTTAGTAAGGAACTTGTTTTGCACTTATTCTGACTTATTGCTGAGATTGACAACTTTTGTTGTGTTTTATAAACTGTATTAAAGAGCTGATGTTAGATGTATGAAGTATGATGATATGTTAATTAGCTTTGCTTTCAAGTGTGGGAGGGAAATATGTCATAGTAAGGAAATCCTATTGTTTTGCAGTCTTTGAGTATGTAAATGTTTTATAATAATATGTTACAGTTTCATAATGTCTGTGTGTTTTACAAACTTATTAGACAGTACCAGTCTCATAAGACACATATATTTACATCTATGATTAGGATATTCAGAACCAAGTACTATTTATAGAATTTATATGGCCCCTGCTGATGCAGACCCCTGAATGGAGCTCAGTAATATGGCATAACAGAAAAGAAAGAGACTCTGCAACGGAAATACTAATAAAAGGTTAGGTGGCCAAGTTTTCTTGTAAATAGGGCCCCACAGTGAACAAAAGTAGAACTGGGGTGTAGGGTCATGTCTGAAATATAGCACCTTAAGCAGCATTGATTCTGGTGATAAGAAAACCCTGGCAGGCGTTTCTGTTGCATTAATAAAAGACATTCTTCAAGATGACAGAGTGGATGAAAGCATATTTAACTCTTGCATGGGATATTACTTTGTTCTAGACCCAAAGAAAATACTGCTGCCACTTGAGTCAATGCCATTTATTGTATCATTCAGTCAATCTCTACCAGTGTCTCTTTGAAATACTGACCCATTTTAATTAGATATTATAATCTACTCATAACCAACTGAATTGTGGCTGAGGCATTTTTCTTAGCATTTACACATATAATCATGGGAAAGATGTTGAATAGGGAAAAGTGATTATTATGTAGATTTAGAAATAGAGGATATTTTCCTATGTGAAGGGTGTTTAATTGTTGTATAATGTAGAATCCAGTTATTTAAGAGACTGCTGCTTTTCCTATGGTGCGTTACAAGAGTGAAAGAGGTAGTTGTGGTGGTCATTGCCTTTGAAAACCTTTTTTCCCTACAGCTGTTCATCAGGGCCCATGCTTGAGCTTCAAATTATGCTGCAAGCCTATTCTTCTTACTCAACAAACTTGATTTTGTTTTTTTAAATTACTTTGATGTGTTCCACCAGGCAAAATTTCAAAATGAATTTAAAGCTGCATATATTAAGATTCTATTTTTTTAGATATCCGCTCATAGCAAAATTTAAAATTTCATACTTTCATGGTTATATTTATTCCATATTTATGAGAGGATTAACTGTGGAATTTTTATGTAAGTGGTTTGTAGTAAACCATATTAGTATTTTGTTCTTTTCACTTGTCTTATTCACTATTTATTTCTGCCTCTCTGCTTGATATTGAGTTATGTGTGCAAGAAGTTATGTTCCTGAAAGAAACCTATATGAAGAGTGGTCAAAAGAATGTAATTCTTTCTGCAGTAAATTTCAACATAAAAATTTATTATCAAGCTGTAATAAGGTATTTATAACTTTATTGCCCTACTTCCTAGGAAGCAGTGATGATTTACTTTTTTTCTGTTATCAAGTAGACTGCAATATGCTTTGGTATTTCCCTTTCTTTTAGGCATTTCCCTTTTTAAAGTAAATATTCATTTTTATGTGCATATTTTGTGAAATAATGTTGATTTTAGCTGTGAAATACTATTATAGTACTGTAGCAGTTATTTA